GGCCAACCCTTGACTTGGCAGAGGATTATGAAGGAGATCACGAAACGCTTGGGTGCTGTCGGTGCTACTCGTCTTCCAGGATGGGGACCGCGTGATCCTCAACGCGCCTGGTTGGAGACACGACAAGTTATGGCTGCCAACCGATGTCCGTGACGTTCTTGTTGTTATTTTCTATTCAGATTGTCGCTCTGAATGCCTGGAGTTGTAGGCACTTCGGAAGGATTGTAGTAAGCTAGCGCTAAGTCACTTCCCCTTTATTCTTTTCTTCGCAAAAAGGGTTCCAACTAAATCATGGTTGTACAGCGGCGGAGCATCAATCATAGAAGCACAAAAGGGATCCAAACGACCGGTTTTGGGATCTGCAATGGGTAGAACCCAGGTGTACCGCATTGTCGGGAAATGGACATGGGTAGCAACAGTGTAAACTGACAACAACAAAAATACAACTGTCCAGCCGTACAAATTTTGATATCTAGCAGCCATGCCACCCAAAGAAAGCAAGAGGGCTAAGATAATGCCAGCTTGCCCAAGTCTAGCCTGGATCAGTCCAAATGCTGAGGTCGAAATTGAACCACAGACCTCCCAGTCCGTAAGTTCGAGTCTTGACTACTGAGCTGTTGTGAGTTCGATAAAGTAAGATGGGGAAAAAGTGGCCAAATGAGGACATAAGCATCCAAAAATGTGCTGGTTAGAGGAAAACAAGTGCCTAAAATTTTATTTTCAAAAGGGATCAGAAGGATATCATGCAAGCATGTTGCACAAACTTCAAAAATATTTTGGTTTCATTCGCCCTGCTGTCTACGGTGAAACACGGAAGTTCCATACGACGAGAAAGCTCAACAGCCGGCTCGTTTCCGGATTGGTTCGGAGTAAAAACCTTTTTTTAAATCTTGACAACACTTTCATTGACTCAAAGTTTTCCGAGGGACAGTCTTGTCAGAAAAGGGATATTGTTTCAGGAATCAAGAATTGCTAAAAGCTTGCCTGAAGATAATGATGACAAACCATCCTTCTAGAAAAAACCCATCGCTCTTATTCACTGAGAATAGGAAATGATCAAGGTGCTCCAAGAATTGAAAACAGAATTGCACGGGTGGATCTGAATATATTTTAGCTTGATTTGATCGATTTAAAGATGCTTGGATCGAAAGAGAACGAAACAGAGCAGGACTTTGAGTAGTTTTCAGTTCGATTAGAGTCCACCCTACCTACAATTCTTGTTCCTCACTACCCAATCCAAAGTGTTGAATTCATCCAGCAAATAGAACTGTGGTCCTCTGAGGCACATAACGAATAGACCGAGAGAAATTACTATCTTTCAATAGTATGTTTTCATATTTTACCGGAGAATCATTGGTTGATGCGTTTATCGAACTATAAAACTTTCTGGAAGGACGTCGAACCAGCACTGCCTGCGGATGCCTTGCCGAATGAGACATCCGCAGGGCTACAAAATAAGTAAAAGATAGATAGATAGATAGATAGATAGATAGATAGATAGATAGATAGATAGATAGATAGATAGATAGATAGATAGATAGATAGATAGATAGATAGATAGATAGATAGATAGATAGATAGATAGATAGATAGATAGATAGATAGATAGATAGATAGATAGATAGATAGATAGATAGATAGATAGATAGATAGATAGATAGATAGATAGATAGATAGATAGATAGATAGATAGATAGATAGATAGATAGATAGATAGATAGATAGATAGATAGATAGATAGATAGATAGATAGATAGATAGATAGATAGATAGATAGATAGATAGATAGATAGATAGATAGATAGATAGATAGATAGATAGATAGATAGATAGATAGATAGATAGATAGATAGATAGATAGATAGATAGATAGATAGATAGATAGATAGATAGATAGATAGATAGATAGATAGATAGATAGATAGATAGATAGATAGATAGATAGATAGATAGATAGATAGATAGATAGATAGATAGATAGATAGATAGATAGATAGATAGATAGATAGATAGATAGATAGATAGATAGATAGATAGATAGATAGATAGATAGATAGATAGATAGATAGATAGATAGATAGATAGATAGATAGATAGATAGATAGATAGATAGATAGATAGATAGATAGATAGATAGATAGATAGATAGATAGATAGATAGATAGATAGATAGATAGATAGATAGATAGATAGATAGATAGATAGATAGATAGATAGATAGATAGATAGATAGATAGATAGATAGATAGATAGATAGATAGATAGATAGATAGATAGATAGATAGATAGATAGATAGATAGATAGATAGATAGATAGATAGATAGATAGATAGATAGATAGATAGATAGATAGATAGATAGATAGATAGATAGATAGATAGATAGATAGATAGATAGATAGATAGATAGATAGATAGATAGATAGATAGATAGATAGATAGATAGATAGATAGATAGATAGATAGATAGATAGATAGATAGATAGATAGATAGATAGATAGATAGATAGATAGATAGATAGATAGATAGATAGATAGATAGATAGATAGATAGATAGATAGATAGATAGATAGATAGATAGATAGATAGATAGATAGATAGATAGATAGATAGATAGATAGATAGATAGATAGATAGATAGATAGATAGATAGATAGATAGATAGATAGATAGATAGATAGATAGATAGATAGATAGATAGATAGATAGATAGATAGATAGATAGATAGATAGATAGATAGATAGATAGATAGATAGATAGATAGATAGATAGATAGATAGATAGATAGATAGATAGATAGATAGATAGATAGATAGATAGATAGATAGATAGATAGATAGATAGATAGATAGATAGATAGATAGATAGATAGATAGATAGATAGATAGATAGATAGATAGATAGATAGATAGATAGATAGATAGATAGATAGATAGATAGATAGATAGATAGATAGATAGATAGATAGATAGATAGATAGATAGATAGATAGATAGATAGATAGATAGATAGATAGATAGATAGATAGATAGATAGATAGATAGATAGATAGATAGATAGATAGATAGATAGATAGATAGATAGATAGATAGATAGATAGATAGATAGATAGATAGATAGATAGATAGATAGATAGATAGATAGATAGATAGATAGATAGATAGATAGATAGATAGATAGATAGATAGATAGATAGATAGATAGATAGATAGATAGATAGATAGATAGATAGATAGATAGATAGATAGATAGATAGATAGATAGATAGATAGATAGATAGATAGATAGATAGATAGATAGATAGATAGATAGATGATAGATTAGATAGATAGATAGATAGATAGATAGATAGATAGATAGATAGATAGATAGATAGATAGATAGATAGATAGATAGATAGAAGATAGATAGATTAGATTAGATATGTGGATAAATAGACAGACGGAACATACTCATTGTCTGTACTCTGCACTTTTAACTTATCACTTCAAGCTGTACTCTTGTTTACTCGATAGTCATGAGCTCTTACAATTCACTGGCCTCTAGAAAGATGCTACCCAAATGGGAGTATTGTTTATTAAATATGGTTTACCTTGTTGTAGTGCAAATTGATCATGTTCTTGAACATCATAGTGTTTATCAAAGTTATGACATCAGTGAGCGTTAACTGACTAACTCCTCTTCAACTCTCACAACGTGCCATCAGTGAAAGTATTAACTAGGTAAAACGTGAATTGTTCTTCGCCTGAAACCTGATATCGGCCATCTTTCAAATCTGCAAAAGAAAACCACTCAAACCCTTAATCTGCAAGCCTTCCATTCAAATCACTTTCGATACACTTCGCCAACTCACTGTAACGGGGCTAGCTCTCGTCGAGTGATGACGCATATAGTTCATATACTTCACGAACGGACTAATCGGTGCCGCCATTCTTGCGGACAGACCAGAACTCAAACAAGAAACCCCACCAACCGAAGCGTCACTGCACAGTCGACTGTTGGCCGCACAGTGGTGAATACTTTGTGGCTGATAAAACCCTGTTCCACGCATGCACAGTGTGTCCACGTTTTCCGCATGCGGCGTTTTGTTGGGGAAAACGGAGAAAATGCGGGATTGGCTTTGTGAACATGAGGAAGACCGAATCTTATGTGGCAGATGAACCCCCGACCAGGGCTGAAGGCAGGTTGCGGTTGTTGTTGCTGTCTTTGTAACTCCTTTGACCATTGAATTGTCCAAGCTGAAATCCACAGGCTGATGATACAAGGAAGTTGGAAATCCGTTCAGCAAATCAAATGATGCATTTCCGGTTGCGCAACGATGTGTAACATCTGGCAAGTTGGTACACAGACTAGAGCGGCATGCAGGATCAAACTGCGGCAGTTCCGATAACTGTTCGGAAAAGGAGGGAAATTGAAATCTGAGGCGCAACGAATCTGACTGAATTCTGGTAATTTTTAATAGTTACCACAAAGAACTGATCAAATACAGAGATATATGTTAGTAGTATGACCAGATTTGAGAATTTTATTAGAGATTTTGTCCTATAAGTGAAGTCAATGTATGCTGGAAATCCGGGGAACATCAAACAGAAGTTATGATATCAGTGAGCGTTAACCGACTAAATCCTCTTCAACTCTCACAACGTGCCATCAGTGAAAATATTAACTAGGTAAAACGTGAATTGTTCTTCGCCTGAAACCTGATATCGGCCATCTTTCAAATCTGCAAAAGAAAAACATTCAAACCCTTAATCTGCAAGCCTTCCATTCAAATCACTTTCGATGCACTTCGCCAACTCACTGTAACGGGGCTAGCTCTCGTCGAGTGATGACGCATATAGTTCATATACTTCACGAACGGACTAATCGGTGCCGCCATTCTTGCGGACAGACCAGAACTCAAACAAGAAACCCCACCAACCGAAGCGTCACTGCACAGTCGACTGTTGGCCGCACAGTGGTGAATACTTTGTGGCTGATAAAACCCTGTTCCACGCATGCACAGTGTGTCCACGTTTTCCGCATGCGGCGTTTTGTTGGGGAAAACGGAGAAAATGCGGGATTGGCTTTGTGAACATGAGGAAGACCGAATCTTATGTGGCAGATGAACCCCCGACCAGGGCTGAAGGCAGGTTGCGGTTGTTGTTGCTGTCTTTGTAACTCCTTTGACCATTGAATTGTCCAAGCTGAAATCCACAGGTTGATGATACAAGGAAGTTGGAAATCCGTTCAGCAAATCAAATGATGCATTTCCGGTTGCGCAACGATGTGTAACATCTGGCAAGTTGGTACACAGACTAGAGCGGCATGCAGGATCAAACTGCGGCAGTTCCGATAACTGTTCGGAAAAGGAGGGAAATTGAAATCTGAGGCGCAACGAATCTGACTGGATTCTGGTAATTTTTAATAGTTACCACAAAGAACTGATCAAATACAGAGATATATGTTAGTAGTATGACCAGATTTGAGAATTTTATTAGAGACTTTGTCCTATAAGTGAAGTCAATGTATGCTGGAAATCCGGGGAACATCAAACAGCTAGTTCATCCTCATTTGCAAACTAATTTAGTTTTTCGAGAGACACGTGGAACCCAGCTGAATATCTCCTTTGTGATGTTTCCAGGCAACGGAATGTGCTGTACCAGGCCGCCTCATGTTTAATTCGCTACGATATTCGAGATATCGCGATCCATGTTTATTCGTGATGCACTACTCATGAGGTTGTTGATAAGGTTGCTAGTCGATGGATTTTCAGTAACCTTGTGAGTAGTGCGTTACAGCCATTTCATCTTTTCTAGGAATCATCAGGAGTATACTTACAACAAAACTACAGTGGGAAGATACGCATCCACAATCTCCAGCCTGGTAGCCTGAACACCTTACGATCGAACGGCTGCATGTCTAGGCTACCAGTCAGGAGGTCTCGAGTTTGAGAGTCTCTGAGTTTCGCGAGGTGCTCACTGGTGGTAATTTCCAGTCAGGATGAATGAGCTCTACAGTGCTTTTCGCCTTTCAGCCTAGATTGGCTTCACTTCCAGAACGAAATCATTTCTTTACATATCCTCAAATAACTGCTGTGAGACTGTACGAGCAACGTTTCCTGTAATCTATAAAGGATTGGCTACCATGATTAGATCATTGCAAAGCAGATCAGCATGGATAAACGCCGATAGATTTACTGGAGAATCAAACTTGAGGCAACAGAACTTCAAACGCCGCATATCTAACGAGTGTCTTGATCGGGCAGACAGATTACGCGGTTTCAATGCATTTTTCCTCACGGCTTATCATGCGCGTTTCACGTTTGCAAGACGGCGTGGGTTCGAATCCCATCCTCAAGGTTTTGAAAGAGCTGATCGAGGTGGTGGACGAATTTGTCTGCCTGAGCAGTATCGGTCCCAGAGATCTAGCCGAATACCATATTTCCACCAAGATTATGAAGGCTACAGTAACTTTCATAAAACTGCATCACCTATGGCGTAGCGTGATGCCAGCCTACTCATCAAGGGTCGAGTTTGCGATATTGTAGTTCAATTATCAGTAGTACGCCTCTTGTGAAATTCCCTAAAGATTCCCAATTGTGTCCTTCTGCTTGTTAGTTCGAACATAACGGTCCGAACGCGAGCGATTAAATCGCATCTAGAGAGGATGTAGCGCCACTCAGCGTCCAGTGACAGAAACAACGTCACGTGGTCACGCATCGACTGGTAACCCGAGTGAAGAGTTCTCAGACGAAAGTTTCACTCAGTTGGTGGCATTTTCCTTCCCCCCAAACTCTCGATTGGTAGTTTGAAAGCTTGATCGCTGGGACGCGAGCGGCTGATCAGCCATTTGATTAATTCGTTCTCAGACGGGTTATTAGGCGAGATGGACCAAGTGGTTAGAGCGCGAATTTACTGACCGGAAGGTCCGTGGTTCGAACCCGACTTCTGCCTCTCGACTTCCCCTGTCTAGGCTTGGGTGACCTGGCAGTATCCCAGCTCCTGTACCTCCTTCGTGTGGCATGGCAGCTAGGCACCGAAAGGATGCTACATCTTAACGATTCATTTTTTATTTTAGACGGGTTATAGCACNGCCTCTCGACTTCCCCTATCTAGGCTTGGGTGACCTGGCAGTATCCCAGCTCCTGTACCTGATTCGTGTGGCATGGCAGCTAGGCACCGAAAAGATGCTACATCTTAATGATTCATTTTTCATTTTAGACGGGTTATAGCACCACTGGAGTTCGAATTAATTTCGAGAACCTGACTAGAGGGATTATCACTTAATATAATTATAAAGGTAATGTGGACTGAGCTGTGTTCAGTATTCACCTTTCATAGTAGGTTTTTGTTAGGCTGATCAAATCACTGTTGTCAGAAATGGCTAGTTGCTAGGTTACCACTTGCATTCCGAGTAGTGTGGAAGAGTTCGCATAGAAGCAACTCACCTTCCTGTTTTGTGCGGAGAACCTTTGTGCAAATCCATGGGCGGAAGGATCATGCATATAGCCCTGGTCAGTCCTACAGAATGACAGAAAATACGCTGGATGGTAAGGAATTAAACGTAATATGACGTTTCTACTCGACGAATGGGAGTGGTCTCAAGTGCTAAGTTAAAGCCGTGCTTAGAGATACAGAGATGTTCAACAACTCAGTTATTTGATAAATGTACACCCAGCGAACTTGAATCACTAAATAAGTAAGCTCCAGTAAGTTCAGTGTTTACGTCGAGGAATCACTAGCTGGAAGGTCCATGGTTCGAACCGAAACCGACATCTGGACCGATGCTGTCTTGGCTTGGGCAGCCTGACAGTGTCTCACCCCTCGTCCTTCCTTTGGCCGACAGGGCGACCAGACGTTGAAGAATGTCACAGTTGAACGACTATTGAGCACGTTGTAGGAGGCCATTTTTTCAACGTCTGCGTCTCTGATGCCTACATCGACTAACATGCTATTCGCTAGAAACCAGTTGGGTTGGGGTATAGGTCATACAGACCGTAAACTATAACGATTCGAACCTATGCAGTGAAGTGTATTCGATCGGGTCGCAAACCAACGCCAAATAGGTAGTGACAGAGCTAATAGACGATCCCTCTCTCTTCTATAGACGACATATTGATATGAATCACCAGCGGGTATTCCTAACGACAGTCGCATTAGGCAGCTACATTTCGAGTGGTCACAATCAGTGAGTGACACTTGTCACTGGACGGTTGTGATGCTATCACAGCGCTATACATCCACCTCATATAGTCAACGTTCATAACCGTTGGACAGCGTTCTTTAAAAAAAAACCTGCAGATTGAGGTAATCCTTGGTGTGCTAAGGACAACAATAGAAATTCAGTGAAAAGTTTGTTGGCACTGAGGAAACAAAAGTATTTTATCATCATCGCCATAATCATCGTCATAATCATCATCGCCATTATCATCATCATCATCATCATCATCATCATCATCATTATCACCAGGAGCCCCTGTAGAGGCTGACGATGGTGCTACGCTACCATAAAAACAAATGGACTTTTGTCTTTATTTTTGAAATCAGAAACTGCAAAGAAGGGAGATGTGTGGTTGAGCGAGGGACCTGAGGACGATCTGCTGCAGGGATTCTGAGTTGTTTACACCTTTAAGTGTTCAGTCGGAGAATCTGGAAGTGAACTGATGCCACAAACGTCACTGACATCGATTGGAAGCCACTTTTTAAAGTGTTTCCAACCAAACGCGGGTGAGGGTCTGTGGGCCTCATCGTGGAAGGTAGGCAGCAATAATACTATCGAAACTCTGCAAATTTTTTCACATCCTTATGCATTGTCATGCGTATTTCCATCTGGCTTTCAGCGCCATTACGCAGGACACACGTAGGTAGGGTCCATAGTTGAGCATGCGAGTCACTACGGATAATATTTTGTGTTTGTCTTCTCTGATTGAAGTTGTGGCAATCTCTTTATCCACATACGTGTCTGTACAGCTCACCGCCACTGACTAGATCACGGGATGTCTTTTTTCTTACACTCACACATCGCGCCACACAATCGGGACCAACTTGACTACACAGTTCACAGTCGCTCCCTAGATCACAGGGCTGGTTTTTTCCCCTACACTTAAAAATCACGACACACAAAGGTGACTCATGTAACATTGACTGTCTACCGTCTGATAGGCGTAGCAACAAGACGTGGTGACAAACCCATGTGCACAAACCTACCCATAGGGAAGCCGAACCCAGTCAACTCACACAGACTCGCGCGCGCGCAGGGAGCAGGAAGTCAGCCAGTCTCCACAAGTCCACGGACAATTATGGAACACGTGTAGCAGTCACACTGTGGAGAAAAACACGTTCCCGCCGTCCGGACTTTCACCAACGAACACTCAGTCGATAGATTTATCTTTTGAATTGCTCCCATTGTATTTATTTTTATACGTGTGGCATCTCACCATTGTCAATTATAATAAACACTTTAGTTGGTGCCGATTCCTTCTGAATCCTATTATGGCTACCCTCACAAATCCGGTGAAGCTATCCGACGCCAGCAGCTCTTCCAAGACATGGTTGCTGAGAAACCCGAAGAAGCCTTACAGTATTTATCCTCGGAGGTCAGGTCTCGCAACCATACCATAGTAAAGACTCTCAGATTGAACTTGTAGCTCAAGCTGACACAAGGTTTTAAGTACGAACTGTTGAGGATATCCGTTCCAAGAACCTTGGCTCCATTCATAAACAGTCGATAGAGCATGTCCTCAAGGCAACCTTAGCCAGGTATCAAGTTAGCTTAAACTCATGTTGCAAAGGAAGAAAGCTACCGAAAGGACCATATATGAAATGAATATATGCTACTATTACTATAGCTTTGGCGAAGAGGAACCTAAGTGAATTCGAATCTAAATCTAAACTAAATCTAGCGAAATACACTCATTTACGAACTAGTTTGGTTTTTCGACAGACTCAACTCGAACCCTGCAGAATCAGACATTCCTCATAAGGTTGTTGAAAATCCGCCGACAGCCCACGACCGGTTTTGCTCTTCCTGGGGCTCATCAGGTAGGCGCGATCCCCGAGCTTCCGTCAACCTTAGGTTCTACTTGAAACCAAATGGCACGAAATTAGCGAATATACACTCATTTGCAAACAAATTTGGTTTTTCGAGAGACTCACCTGGAACCCAGCTGAATCTCTCGTTTGTGATATTTCGGGGCAAGGGAATGCGCTTAACTAATGAGCCTCAGGAAGGGCAAAACCAGTCGTGGGCTGTCGACGAATTTTCAGCAACCTCATGAGTAGTGCATTACGAATAAACTAAATCTACTAGGAAACGTCAACAGCACAGGTGGATCGCTGTCTTCATATGTCTCAGCAAACGAAAAATCGTAAGTTAGAAAATGTTAACTAATTACATGGGATCTCAGGTGATAGAAACTAAATTCCACAACCCGAAGTTATTCTTTACGTTTCGGTGGACTTGAAAATCCATCCTAGAAAATTCGGTTGCAAATGTTTTGATAATAATTAAATCGATAATTAAAAATAATTAATTATTATTAATAACTGTTAATTGATAATTATTATTTAGATTGTTTGTGGGTATGAAACGGAGCTGCGTCGTAATTGGACAGAAAACTGACGTGTTGACGCGAAGATCATACTATACGTCATCCAAACACAGCCATTTAAAAGCCTGTTTCTTCAAAATTCGTACCCACGAGACTCTGAAGTCCGATTGGAAATCGGAAAAACAAACGGTGCAAAAGATTTGATACGGCATTGACGCAGACCTAATTAGGTAACGTTTACCTATCTGTGTGTAACGCTCGTTTAGGCTGGTGGATTGCCTCAGGGCGGTAGTTGATTTCGCAGCAAGTAGTTTACTCGCGAAAAACAATCAGCATCATCAGCTTCAGCGGATGTCGAAACATCGTCACCCTGGACGAATGCTGTTCTCCGCGTCTCCCTTTGGAATGGCAAAGATCGCGAGATGGAAATATGTATGACTGTGCGGAAGCATGTGAAAGAGATTACGAAGATTTTTGGTTGTTTTAGTGCCGCCTACCTTCCACGATGGGGCCCATTGTCCGCACCTGCATTTGGTTGGAAACACTTCAAAATGTGGCTACCAATCAAAGTCATTGGCGTTTGTGCCATCGGTTTATTTTCAGATTGGTTGATTGAGCACTTAGAGGTGCAGAATTCTCAAAATGCTGGCGATAGACCGCCACCAGGTCCCCCTCTCAACCACTTCCTCCCTTCGTTTCAGCTTAAGGCTTCAAATGAAAAAACATGGGCTCTTTGCGTTATGGTATTGAAGCACCACCGTCAACCTTTGCAACAGCTGCTGGTGATGATGATGATGATGACGATGACGATGATGATGATGATGATGATGATGCTGATGCTGATGCTGATGATGGTGGTGATGATGATGATGTTGATGGAAGTAGGAATTGCCTTTCAATAAAGGGTGAGTAAAAAGCTGGATATACTGTGTCACTGCGACTTACCGCGCTGAACTGTTTAGTACTGACCAAAGACTCAAAGGAATGAGCGTAGGAACGAGAAATTTCAGGAACCACCACCCTAGCTAAATGCCGTCATGTTTTCATGGGACATTGAATACTCAAAACTAGATTCTGCGATCATGTGCTCCTGGTCCCCTTTCTCTTCCCCGATTTCTTGTTAATCCTATGCTGTGATACTTTTGATTCAACCTAGTAGTATATTTCGTTTTTCCTTGTTTCTTTGTGAAGCATGAAAACATCACATTGAGGTAGGCCGACACAGTATATGTGAACATAGAAGCAGATGGGATAGATGTTGAGCTATTGAGACTACAAAGGTCACTGAACTGTTGTATGTATGGATAGCATTCATTCAAAGAAGATGAGAGGGTATGTCCGACAATCGCCATAGTTACATGCATAATAAACCGCAGAATGCCATTCATGTAACAAACTCACCCCATATTCCAGCGGGTGGTGAGAGCAGCATGCGGAAAACTGGGCCTCCCGATTCCTTGGGACACTATGCCCTTGCCTACACAAATGTTGATGATTAAAAGTTGACATTCCACATACACTCTGCCATCTCCCTGAGATTTGCCGGTTGCATTGTTTTTTTTTCACGTGGAAAACACTCCGATCCGATCCACAGTAACTAGGACCAGTCCGACTCACCTAGGCTAGTCTGGTAGATATGCAAAGCTCGTTGCCCAGATTCAAAATGTCATGGGCCCGGTGAAATCGATTTTTATCAGGTCACCTGTCCTACGGTTCCCAAGCATACGTGAGACTTACGTCGCAACATTGTTCAAACCTCGGTGCTTTTGGTTTTGACATTTCTGCAAGTAATTGTGCTCACCGAAGTTTTCTATGAGTAACTGAAAAGTAAAGAGGTTGCGATTGACTCTTTATTGATTTTCTGTTGGGGTAGAAATATGGTTGTCAGTGCCCTCAATTAATCAGTGCTTCCGAAGTCTGACTACCAACCAACAAGATCTGTAACTGACGTCGTTATGCCCAACAAGCAGAAATACAAAAATTAAAAGGTATTTTGTTGGTGTTTACCGATAGGGTTTTCTCGTCATAACGTGAGGCCAGTCACACTGCTATTCAGCTCCTTAAAGCTGCAGTCACACTGCTATTCAGCTCCTTAAAGCCAGACGCCTAAGTGTCCATCCACCGGTAAGAAGGTCTGGGGGTCGAAACACTCTGAGGTTCATGAGATGTGTACTACCGATGATTCCTTGGAGGATGAATTTGATGTAAATCGCCTTCCATCTTTTCGCTATAGATTAGGCGCATTGACAGGACAAACTCTCAATTGAATGTTTCCAAACATCCCACACTACTATAAATTTGTGTGTAGTTCAGAGGAAGAATGATTTCACAAGAATTTGCACACAAATTTGGTTTTTCGAGAGGTTCACCTGGAACCCAGGTGAATCTCTCGTTTGTGATGTTTTCAGGCAACTGAATGTGCTGCGCCAGGCCGCCTCATGTTTCAGTCACTACGATATTCGAGATATCGTGATACATGTTTGTTTGTAATGCCCTACTCATAAGGTTGTTGAAAATTGGTCGACAGCCCACGACCGGTTTCGTCCTTCTTGGAGCTCAGCAGGTAGACGCAGTTCCCGAGTTTCCTTATGTTTTACTTGACACCAAATTGCACAAAGTTAGCGAACATACACTCATTTACAAACAAATTTGGTTCTACGAATTGGTTCTGCGAATTGGTCACTCGAGGAGCCAGCCGGTTCATGACCATTTTATGCAGTTTACATGATCGAAGGATGAGTGTTACTAAATCCCATCTTAGTGTAAGTGAATCCCAATTCTGGCCAGCCACCCTTGGTTAAACAGTTACGTTCTCAAACTACTGGCCGGGATGACGTGAGTTGTAATCTCTCTGACTGCCAACCGATGTCAGAGGCGTTCTTGTTGTCAGTTTCTATCCAGAGTGCCTGAGTGAATGTCTGGAGGTGTAGGCACCTCGGAATGATTGTGTTAAGCCAGCACTAAGTCCCTTCCCCGTCCACCTTTATTCTTTTCTTTACAGTAAGGCTTTCAAATAAGTCATGGTTGTACGGCAGTGAAGCATCGGTGTTGAACACTGATGTCATGCTGTCGATGATGATGATGAATCTCTCAGGTGTTTTGTGAGATACGCACTACTGATGATTCCCAGTAGTGAAGAAACAGCGGTTCTAGACTTTTTCAGTATAGATTTGCTTTGGTGCCATGATGAAGTCTGAGCTGGAAATTACAAAACTTCCGCACACTGCGATCGATCAAGTGTGCTTTTATTGAACAAGACAGGGCCTGGATTCTTCAGTAAGAAATCGGACCTCTTGGGTTAGTCTGATTTTGAATGTATTACAGCAAATCTACGTCGGGCCAACTTTTGGGTTATCAAAGCACTCTGTTGTTGAGAAACTTGCTGATGTAATGTCAAAATCCTCATTGAACATTTCTGAATGACATCGCTCCACTCGCGCTTTAATGTCAGCATTCCTGTGATGTCATAAAACTTTGGTTATGATGGCGAGTTTTGATTGGCTACACAAAAATTGTAAGCGGAGCTGAACATGTGAACTTGAATCATGGTAACATGCTACCCTCTCCACCGATGGCCTGCTGAGATCCTGTGATGGTCCTTGAATGCAGAAGCTATTTACCTCAACCGATTCCTTCATATCGGCTTAGCGTACTTTTTCTCACTTCTTCCTGCATATTCGTTGACTATCACTCAAGCGTAAACGAATGCTAAAAAGCAATGCCGCAAATTACGCAATAAATCCCACTTTCCTCTAGACACGAGGCGCAGTCACGACAAGGCATATTACTCACATGCTCCGTCAGTAGTATCCATTGTTACACCTGTACTGTACTTACTCACGACATCTTACATTTCCACCGATTTAACTGGCAATTACGCCAAATGATGCTCAAAGTCAAAACGGAGAGGTTGTCTTGCACTTATTTTGTTCAAATTTGTCTTCATCCTCCTCGATAACGTTGAAAAGTTCCATTTCTTGACTTCTACCAGAGTTCTTCTAGTTGCTTCCGCTATGCCAACAAACCTTGAATGAAAACGTGTGACCTATCAGCAAATCAATCCTAAGTCAGGAACAACATGCAAAGCCGGAGTTGGAGTTCACCTCACGCGTGCACACTCAGACAATTACTCAAACCTTCTCGCCCGCAAACTTTCCGCTCACTTTCTACCTCATTTGTTCTACCTACTACAAAGATCCCGGTACGGTCAAGGGTGTCCGCCCCGGGGAACCTTCGCCACACTCCAAACGCAATCTGCATAAAAACGGAACCTACCAACCTGAGCAGGCCATTTTGAAGATCATGGTTTTGTAATTTTTTTTAGATCCCTGGTTCTCTTCACAAAGATAAAGTCTCCTCCAAGATCTTAGTTCCCTCACTCACCGAATCACGGTATTGGGACACGCCTGAAGCCCCATCTGTCTAATCTTTAGTACAACGGACGCACTACTACGGAAGTAAGTTGGAATCAATCAAGAAAGCAACAAGGTTGGGACCAGATCTCGGCCATTCATCCCCATTCGAGAATCGGAAAGCACACTTTCTTTACTATCCCGTTTCTGGTCACATTTGCTTCAAACACATGCAAAATATGTCCCGAAATTCCTTTGTGTCCCCTACCACTGATAGCGGGATTCCGTTCCTTTGGACTCTCTTTTTACATGAGATCAGACTGGAACGTCCTTCCCCCCAAGGCGCATGATATCCAAATGAAAACTGGTCTTTTCGTTTCTCCATTTACAAACTCATTACCGGACTCTGTTTGCCTCAGCTTCACCGAAACACTCGGGTCAATATTGTGCCACATCGCCGCTTTTGAAAAAGTTGCCACTCTGTCCATCCAAAATCCAAAACAGTTTTTTGTGACTTCCAACCTTCTGGTGCCAATTGACGAATTTAACCTCGTTCCCTAGTGTGTCACTGTTAGTGTAATGTGGATACTACTGATGACGAGTGAGAGTAGTATGTGGTTTTCTCGTAACCCCACTTCGCGTCTATTGGAAAGTGCGGTTTATTACGGAACATGTAGGTCTGCTTTGCGGCGTGTGTTTACAATTGCATGATAGTTAACGAATATCCACGAAAGTTCAGGAAAACGCGTGTGGATGTTCAGTTTTTAAAAGCGAGGTGCACATGAGATCTTTACTTTCCTGTCCAATAGTTTGTAACTGTTTATTTGATGTTTGTCAATAAACGGCTTCGCAGAGAAGCGATTTGTTTCCTACACCAGAACAGATGGCGTACCCATTTCACCAGAACGTCGGGTATGGGGCGTAATGCTCATGCTTCTGGCCTAAAGAAGGACTCGAGGCCCGATAAACGTCAGCCTTGAAACCCCATTTCGTCCACTCTTACTTGGACTCCAAACCAACAGCTGTCCCCCTTGTCAGTCAAATCCTGTTCTTTAGTCGTTCGGATGTACGGTTTGGCTTTTAACTGGCTGGTGGAAATTTGGGAAGGATTGAAAAACCGGTAGTGGACTGTCCAAAGCTTCTGTCGCAATTTTAGGTCTACGATGCTTTTCGCGGCATCCATTCACTATCTTCCTTCACGTAGTCGACAGGCAGTTACCTACTTCTACAGGGTCTCTCCTGCCTCCAGCTTATCCGTAGTGACAGTCCAACTGTTTGCAAGCCCCGGTATCCCACTGTGTTCACTTCCACCCCAGTCTCCACAATTTTTGTCCGGTTATACTCTCTCACTAGCCTAATTCAACCTCTTCTCACTCTTTACAGCTAGGGGATAAAGTCACCCAAACGTCTACATAAAAGAAGGTTTCTCTACTTTCTAACCAACTATCCGTCATCTAGTAACTTGTCCTCGCCGCTTCCCACACAGCGAGTCAGCCCCACATCCATTTTCATAAATGAAACTTCACTCTTGTTCAGTTGTCAGTAACACAAACAGAACTCCCTATCTAACAGGACTTTTCTCCAACCCATTTCCTGTTTTCTCCTCACTCACCGAATCACGGTATTGGGACACGCCTGAAGCCCCATCTGTCTAATCTTTAGTACAACGGACGCACTACTACGGAAGTAAGTTGGAATCAATCAAGAAAGCAACAAGGTTGGGACCAGATCTCGGCCATTCATCCCCATTCGAGAATCGGAAAGCACACTTTCTTTACTATCCCGTTTCTGGTCACATTTGCTTCAAACACATGCAAAATATGTCCCGAAATTCCTTTGTGTCCCCTACCACTGATAGCGGGATTCCGTTCCTTTGGACTCTCTTTTTACATGAGATCAGACTGGAACGTCCTTCCCCCCAAGGCGCATGATATCCAAATGAAAACTGGTCTTTTCGTTTCTCCATTTACAAACTCATTACCGGACTCTGTTTGCCTCAGCTTCACCGAAACACTCGGGTCAATATTGTGCCACATCGCCGCTTTTGAAAAAGTTGCCACTCTGTCCATCCAAAATCCAAAACAGTTTTTTGTGACTTCCAACCTTCTGGTGCCAATTGACGAATTTAACCTCGTTCCCTAGTGTGTCACTGTTAGTGTAATGTGGATACTACTGATGACGAGTGAGAGTAGTATGTGGTTTTCTCGTAACCCCACTTCGCGTCTATTGGAAAGTGCGGTTTATTACGGAACATGTAGGTCTGCTTTGCGGCGTGTGTTTACAATTGCATGATAGTTAACGAATATCCACGAAAGTTCAGGAAAACGCGTGTGGATGTTCAGTTTTTAAAAGCGAGGTGCACATGAGATCTTTACTTTCCTGTCCAATAGTTTGT